TTTACAGTTTGACTATCAATATTTGTTTCGATACTTGTTAAATCAGAATCAGATTGATTATTTCTTAAAATAAAAAAACAAAAGAAAATTTTTAATTTATATTTATTAAATTAAAAATACTTTTCTTTTCGATAAATTTTTCTTATTGAATTATTTTCAAATTTTTCAATTAAATGTCGTACATTTATTGTTTGATCATTAAATGATAATGAATCGCCTTGATCAAATTCAGAAGTTTTTACAATATTAGATGATGGTTTGATTATTTCAACTTGAATATCGTCTTTTGATGGTAATGTCCATTGGATACCATATTTTATAGAAGATGACGATATTTCATCATTATTAATGACATTAATTATAGATAATTCTTTAGAAATATTTGTTTTTGATGAAGAATTTATCGATATATCTTGACTGAGAAAGAAAATAAATCTTTTGTTTATTAACAAAATAAGTTTTGAAATTTTAAGTGAGTAAATAAAAGATAAGATAATGTCAACTGATAACATGACATTTGAATATTGACTGCATCGTTTCAAACATAACCAAAATTAGCTCAAGTCATGCAAACTGATTTTTTTCTCATTGAACTTATGAATAATAAAAGTTTTCATTGTCAATAAAGAGAATTCTACTCATGATAAATTCCTATGAGAAGGAGAAAATTTTCTTTTTCCTATAATATTTTCAAGAACTAAAGTAAATTTGTATTTGAATATTTGATGAAATAATGTAGAAAAAAAATTTCTCACTTGAATTCTTTAAAAGGTAAAACTAATGATGATTGGTTGATTTCATCTTGTAAATATTTAGTTATTATATTCGGTTGTTCGATATTATTCAATGTATGATCATGAATATATGTTATATCATATTGTTTATTTTTAATATGAATAATAGCAAATGCAACAGCACTTACAAGAGCAATGGCTAATGATATACTTCCAATAAGTTCGATTATAACCATTAAATATCGTTATAACAATATTTTAAAATGATTTTATTCATTGTATAACGAAATAACATATAAACATAAGTTTTTTATTCATATTTTATATATATATATATATATATATTTTAAACAAATTTCGTTTAATTTTTATTGTTGCCTAAGCAATCAAGACCTTTCAAACAAAAAAGAAAAGAAAAGAACAGAATAGCCGATATGAACAAAATGGTCATGCTTCGTTGAGTTGCTCGTTCAAGTGTTCTATAAGTTCAATTACTTCTTTTTTTTTTGCTCTACACTTGTCATACATATATATAAACTAAATTATTTTTTTCTAACGATAAACGAACTATTTCGACTAGTGACACACATAAAGGTGAATAGGAAATTAAAAACAACCTTATTACAATTATTATTATTTGTTTACTTTTTCTATCAATCAAGAACGCAACAACGATGAATGAAACAGTCGATAGTGTATATCGTTTCGTTACTGATCAATCATCATCAGCATATAATAAAATGAATTCATTTGTCGCATCACTTCGTCGTCGTTTTGATAAAGTACTTACAGTCAATCCTAATACAACAACATCAACAAATTCTTCATCTATGACAACAAATAACGGTGAGATTTTATTGCTTAAAGAAGTTATAACAGATGCTTATTCTATGCTTGCTATGAAAAATAATAATGATTTAAAAAATTGTTTGCATGTTGCTGAAAATTTTCAAAAACAACCATGTTCACCTACTACTGCACGTTATTTAATTAATGAAATACGTTCATTTATATCTTTATCTCATTCAGATGAAAATTATTTACCAAGTATAAAAATTGATCAAACAAAAAAATCAGAAAAAAATTTCAATGTTTATGATACATTGAATAAAAATCGACCAATAGTACGATCAAATCCAAGTGTAAACAATATCAATCAAAACGAGGCGGGTAAGCCCGTTAATATGCAAAGACATTCGCTTCGTAGCTCTATGCGTAATTTAATAAAACGTCGTACAATAAAAGTTCCATCTAAAAAAATTCTAGGCTCATCCAATGATTCACAAACTCCACATATATATGAATCACTCGATCCACCTTCACCAGATATATCATCAACAATGAATCCAATATCAACATCTGAACAATCATATACATTTCCACCAATATTAAAATCATCTTATATTATTCCATCATCAATTGTTGCTCTTGATCATTTTACAACAAATCTTTATCTTGTTGTTAATTCAATATTAAATCAATTACTTGTTGTATTTGGTTCAACAAAAATTCATACTATTAAATTATATGATACAAATGGTAGAAAAATTCATACAAATGATCTTATTTTACAATATAAATTTGAAGATTTACATGGTTATAAATTATTATCATCAACATTAAATAATAATTTACAAAATTGTTTCATTGTTAATGAAATACGTGTTTATGTTACTGAACCTTTAGATAATACATCACCAAGCCAAACACTTAAACAACGTTTATTATTTTTTGATCAAAATGGTCATTGTATTTCAACATCAAAACGTTTACCAATAACAAATGAATTATTATTTGTTGACGTTGAACGTTCAACATCATCAATATATGTATATGATGGTTTAAATTTAATAAATTTAGATCGTAATTGGTCAATAAATATTGAAAATATTGATTGTATATCATCTGGTTCAACATTTCTTGTTTGTTTACATTCAAAAACAAATCAAATAAGTATATATAATAATCAAACAGGTTCATTTATATATCGTTGGTTAATAACAACACCAAATATTCATTATTTACAAACAGTTTATTTATGTGTATCACGTCAAGATTTAATATATGTTTTAGTTTGGAATTGTGATGTACATCCATTTAATAATCATGTACTTGTTTTTGATCAAGAAGGACAATTACGTCGAGAATATTATATTCCAAATCGTATTATACCAACTATACATGGAACATATACATATGAGATGACACTTGGTGGACATCATACACCAAATTCACTTTCTAATATTGTACGTCAACCATCAAGAAAACCAAATCCACAAACAATAGCATGGATACAACAACAAGCTATGTGGAATGCTAGTGGTAGACATCCATCATCACATATATGGACAAATAATCCTAGATCAACATCACAAATGCAACCATTTTATCATGGAATAGGAAATCCTTATGATATGTATCATCAACAACAACAAACACAAGATGATAATACACTTTTTCATGCACGATTTCTTGCTATTACAGATGATGATACATTAATTTTATCGAATATAATTGATCTTGGTTTAGATGAAGAAACACAAGAAACAGCTGTTGTTAATGTTAGTCGAAAAATTTTATTTTTTCATTTGGATACATAATTTCATGTGTATGTTTTATATTGATGTATAAAAAACGAAAAAAAAAAAAATAAAAAAGAAAATCAAATATTTGATTTTCTTTTTTTTTCTTTTTTAGATACTTCCTATTCTTTTATCTTAATAGAATCTTTTTTCTATTTTATGCTCTTTTTTTTTCTCTCTTGTTTGATACAAGGAAACAAATGGATTATTAAATTGTGAATTGAAGAACTTTATATGTATCGGATCTTTTCAGAAATTATAAGAAGATTATCTTATGAATCGATCTATATTTTTAATGACTCTCATTTTTGATCAACTTAAAGAAATATTTCTAGTTTATTATAAGTTGATTGTCATTGATACAATGAAGTTTAATTTTTGCATCTATCGAATATTATTGCAATTTGCACATAAATAATATCGAATGATTAAAAACAAAAAAATTAAAGTAAAAAAAAAACTTTTGTAAAAAGTCATTCTATCGATATCAAATGACTGTATTTGTTCATTTTTCTTTTTTTTATCAAAGTCATGTTTCAATACACTAATGAGAAATTTTAGCTAAATGAAGTGTCAAGTGCATTTATTGAGACTGAAGTTTTACTTCCGGAGGCATGCGAATGTCGTCGTATAAATCAAAAAGAAAAAGAAATCCATTGAATTGATTGTAATTTCTATTGATGACATTGTCAAAGAATTCTTGTAATATGCATATTTTAGTATATATTTCAAAAGAATCTATGTAATCTAGATTGTGCGAAACAGAAGACATTATTCCGATTATTGTCACATATTCATCTGTTTTTTCTTCTTTCTGTTGTCTCTCGAATTATACTTCAAAAAAAAAAAACGTTTGTTTTCTCACCTCATATAACACTTATACAATCATAAAACTTCATCAAGTATTGAACAAGCATATTCTTCAATTGAATTTTAAAAAAAAAAGCCTTTGGTCATAGATCAACAATTGAAAGATTTTGTTAAACTATTAAATTTAATTCATCATTGTTATGAATCTCGATGAATGAGGAGCTCCGGGTATTAGTCTCTTTTCATTCTGGTGCAATATGTCTGCAAAAATGTTGATTACTTGTCCGAAAACTGACTACCAAATTTTAACTCCTCCCATTTCTGACAATAATTAAGAACTATGATTACTGTGGAAAGAAAAAAAAAGAAATATTCTACTTGTCCAAAAAAGAAAAGGAAGGCGTATTGATAGATACTTATTATGATCACATTTCCGCTTGATCAACTATCAAACTTGATAAAATATAAAGGAATGTCTGCAATGCATATAATGTCCTCATTGTTAAAAGCTATAAAGTTATAATATTCATATTTATATGATGGTAAAATGAGGCATGTTTTGGTCACAGATGGGTGTTATTCGTTCTGAAGGACATTAAAAAGCTATGTGACACCTTTTCATTCTTGACACCTTTCTCTCGGTTGATCACCGCTCATAGCACATTTTTTATTTTTTATGTTTAACGTTTATGATCCAGAGAAAAAGCAAATGAGAGAGTGAGATGTAACAATAACAAAATATTCTTTGATTGAATACATTCAAACAATTGACCACCAGAAGAAGAAAAAAAAAAACAAAACATACGGCGAGACGAAATCAATATATTGATTTAAAAAGCTAATGCATATAACATACTCAAATCAAATCAATACGATGTCAACATTAATCATACTAATTTCATTGATTATAATCACACAAGCAAAAACATTACCAAGTGATTTTATGTAAATATTCATTTATAAAAATATATATTTAGAAATCTTTAGTTTCTTTTCTTTTTTCTGTGGTTTTAAATCTTATTTAGGTTATTAGGTTTAACACCAACAACTCAATTAATTAAAGGTTTAACATGTCAATCTTATCGTTCATTTATTGGAGAAAATACAGATTATTTATGTTCAAAAATTCCTCATTTACATATTATTCTTTATGAATCAAATATTCAAACTCATCAACAATGTCAATATCATTTTCGTCATCATCCATGGGGTTGTCAATTAAGTTCAAAAATTATTTCATTAAGAAGATTTTTACGACAAGGTGTGTTTTGATATATTTTTCTATTTATGAATTATTTATTTATTTATTATTTTTCTTTTTGTTTAAGCATCAAAAGAAGCTTCATTTTATACAACATTAGCAAGTGCAACATTAACATTGAATTTAATCAATGCTTGTATTAAAGGTCAAATTAATGATACAAATTGTTTATGTTTAAATAATCGACAATTATGTCAAACAGATCCAAATATTGCTTTTCAATTATCATATTTAATAACAGATGGTTTAAATATGTCAAAAATATTTCATGAAAAATTTTTATATAAACTTAATCAAGCTAATAAAGAACTTGGCCGACAGGTAAATATATATAAATGTATATAAGAAAAAAAAAAGATAACAAAGAATTAATTTTTAATTTATTATTTTATATTAGATTGTTAAAAATATGATGTATAATGAATGTCATTGTCATGGTGTTAGTGGTTCATGTGAATTACAAATTTGTCGATTACGACCAGCTAAATTAACTGATATTAGTTATGAAATATATTTTAATATATATAAAAATGCTCGTTATATACAATCAATTGATTATATTAAATTTCAAGAAAAGAAAAATGAATTATTTTATGCACGAAAATCAATAAATTATTGTTATTCAAATTCATTTATTGATTATCAAAATATACAAAAAGGTCGAGAATGTTTTAATGATGAAATATGTAAACAAGTTTGTTGTAATCGTGGTTATGAAATTTTAACTGAAATGAAATTAATTGAAAATTGTCATTGTTTTTTTTCATGGCATATTGTTAATATTGAATGTAAACCATGTCAAAAAAAAATTACACGAATGATTTGTACATAAATTTATTTGTTTGTTTGTTTGTTTGTTTGTTTTTGATGTATATAATCATAATTAGCAGATGAATTATTGACGTTTTTTTTTTCTTTCTTTTAGAAATAAATATATAAACTTTATGCACGAAAAAATTATATTTTTTTTTATCGTTATCTCCAAGGAAGGAATAATCTGATTTCTATGGTAGAAATCATTATAATGCCTTAAGGATATGAGTCATGATTGAAAGTAGTAAAAAATTATCGAAAGCTATTAGAAATCAATGAAAGTCACTCGAAATCATAGATAATTTTCAGTAATAAAATTAAAAGTAAATCTCTGGTTTCTATTGATTTGTTTGACTTTACATAATTGTCAATATTTCTTGTATTTGCTGTTGATTTCTTGTAATTTTTCTTCATTTATAAACATTTCTAATGATTTCTATTGAATTATTTCTTTTACTAGTTCTATTGTGTATGCCTAGTCGAATTTCACCGTTGTAAGATCCACTATTGAAGATTATATTCTTGGAAATTTTGTTTTAATGTAATTTTTGAATATAACAGAAACGAACATTCTAATGACGTTTAATAAACGAAATACAAAAAAAAAGATTTATATCAATTGAACTATCAATTGAAGATCTTTTATTACTGTTTTGTTTTCTATTTTGTCTATAGATATTTATAGTATTTTGAAATTGGACATATGACTATTCTCTTAAGTAACACTTAACCCTTTGGCTATAAAGTTTTAAAAAAAATAACATTTCTTCGTTGCTATATTTTTTGATCGTCAATTAATCTGTAGTTCTAGTTTATTAAAAAGTTTTATAAACATGAATATATAGAAGTTTTTCAAAATGTGATATAGTTCAACACAAGATACAATACATAAACCAACATTTCATTGAGTACACTCATATCTTGTATTAGTTCTTTTGTTTTTTGTATCTATTGTTGTATTACTACAAACATGACACCTTCGCCTCTTTATTTCCGCCGATGTACCTTCAGCTGAGTAACCTTGAATAAGTAAAGGGAAGTGTCGAGCAGTGAGCCTCAAAAGATTTCTTTAAGATAATCTTCCTTTTTTTTCCTTCATTCTCTTGACTACCAATAGATTCAACAATGGATCGGATCAGTTCCAGTCGAAAGTCTCATAGATGCATTGTTTTTCCGGTTATGAATTTGTATAAAATGAAGGCATTGAGTACAGTAACCTCAAGCAAATGGGAAAACAATTAACAAATATAACACTATCGAGCAAGTTCTTTTAGTCAGAAACATTTCTCGTAAGAATGTTAGATTTTAGCAAATTTTCACGTAAAAGTCAGTTGTGTTATATTTATTATGTATTACTGATTATCACACTAAAAGAATTTATAACTCAAATTACGCAAAAAAAAAATGTCTGAGAAATGCTTTCACGAAAATTGATATCACTTAATGACTCTATCAGCTCAGTTGATGTCATAAATATGATTGTAATATAGCATACTAATTAGGTAAAATTTACAAATCATAGTAAAAGACTATCTATTTATGATTAATTTATCAATACATTAAGATTATGTAAGATAAAGAGTTCACGATCATATATTTAATAAGTACATCTTCGTACTTTATTGAGTTTCTCTATATGTGATATGAAGTTAAGTCGAATTCATCAGCTTAGAATTATTATATTTATTTGATAGAATGTAGCATAGAAAATTATCAATGAGCTATTGTTAGTTGTCTCGAGAACGTTAAAGAGATTCTAAACTTCTTTTCAACTATGCATGACTTGGTAATGTACGAATAACATTAGTTGTTTTTTGTCTTGTACTATCATATTAATTTTTTTCTGATTAATAATATATATTTTACAATGTACTTTTCAGAAATAAAAAGAAAAATCCTATAACAATTTTTTTTCACCTCTTACTTAAATTTAATTATGTAAACTTTTGAAATAATATAAACTATAAGAACTTATGGATTATTGAAGAGATTGAGCTTTTCTAGTATTCTTTTCATGACATATAGAATGATTAAAAAAAAACTTAAAATAAAAAAAAAAAAGAAAAATGACATTAAAATATCATTCAAAATGAATAAGAATATATGAAAATTATTGAAATAAAATCTTCTTCATTATTAATACTTGTATACAATAGATCAGAAGTATTCTATAACAAAATAAAATGACATACACGCAAATCTAATTATGACGTTATTAGATTTCGTTTGTCTGTAAAGATTATAACCATTGAAAAGAAAACACAATGTTCCTATATTATCCAGAAAATTTTCCATATTTTCTAATTTATTTAATATAAAAAACAAAATATAATTTCTTTTCATTCTTGGTCAATGATTGTTAACTTTCATATTGTACTATATTTATAATAAAAATTAATAATCTAGATCATTATATTGAACTTTCAAATATTGTTTCCTTTTATCACAGATCAGCATGACCTATGGGACTTTCGTGATGATTACAATATTTTATAAATTTTTGCTAATCATGATCGTGACTAAAATTTGGAATAGTTATTCACAAATTTTTAATCAAAAATTTCATCAATAATAAATCTTTTGTTTTCTTTTCGTTAATTATTAAAAGAAACAAAAATTTTTTAATCTTTTCATAATACTATTGATAATGAAATAATTTTCATTCAATCCATCCATATACAAACATTCGAATATGAAGAACAAAAAAAAACAAAAACAAATATCAGAAATCATCTTCATCATATTCTAGATTTTTAGAAATTTCAATTCTTTTTAGTTAATATTTATATATGATTAGATTTCTTTTGTGTTATAAGTACATTATTTTATAATATATCTCTATTAATATTAATAAATAAAAGCATTACATTTATTATTTAAATGATGAAGTCAAAGGAAAAACATTTCAATAAGGAGAAAAAATGAAATCTTAAATTATGTCTATGGTTACGATTAAGATTAGTACAACTATAACCGTTACTAAATCTAGTTGGTCAAACTAAATTCTCTACAGAATGAGATTCATTTCTCTTTTGTTCATCGATATGTGTTTATTCGAAGTCTGAAGAACGGTCATAGATTGAGAAAGCGAAACAACTATAATTTGATACAAAGTACAGAATATAGTAAACTATTTTTTTTAAATATTTTAGCTGGATAAGATCGAGTTTATCTATTAGTGAAGGTCAAAAAAAAATGTTATCCTTTTTGTTTTAGTGACAATACAAATCAAGAAATAGGAATGATAACAAAATTTCTCAAATATTGTTTTGAGTAACTCTATGTCATAAAGAAAAATAAGAACAGATAAGGAAAAATATTAAAAAATCGTAAAAGTCATATCCTACAAATTTTTCATTAGGGATTAACGGTCGTTGAAGAAAAATCCAGAATTCAAAAACAAAATAATTTTCAATTTATGAGACCAATTTGTATCCACCAAGTATTGAAATCTTTTTTTAGAGTTAGAAATCAATCTCGATTTCTTTCTCTTGAATACATTTATGTATCTTAGAATTTTTCATTGTAAAATTCGAAAAAGAAAACATATAATAAAAAAATATGTGTATCTGAATTGTGAAAAGGATGATAAGCAGAAACATACAAATGATCAAATATTAAAATTAACAATGAATGCGTAGTTCAATACAAAATAAAGATACGATTGTTGAGTATTTTCTAAAAAAAACATCATTTTATTTTAATAAAAAATCTGTTGTCAGCATCATTTATCTTTCTTTTAAGAGTAAATTCTTTGAAATAGTTTGAATTTTCTAGATATAAAAATAGAGATATTTCAAAAACATATTTTTTTTTCTCATCAAAAACAATCTTTTAATTTTTATAATCGCACTGTTCCTGTCATATATTACTGATTCTATTCGGAGTTTATATTAAGAGTGAGAATCAAAAACCGGATGAGACAATTTTATGCCAGAAAAATTAGACATTGGTTTTTATACTATTAACAATACTTATACGTCTATTTCAAACATGAAAGTAGACACGTTTGTAGTTTCCTTTTTTTTGTGGCTTTATGTTTCTGATTTTTTTCTCTCATTGGATAAGAAACTACTTTCTAATTTTAAAATGCTTTTTTTTTCTTAAACCTTTTGGTCACGTACACCATGATTGTCATTAGTTGATAAACATTTTAAAAAAAAACAGAACAGCTTAGTTAAGAATTGAATTATTATATGCATGTAAAGAGCCTTTCTACAAACGTATGATAGAAAAAAAAACAAATCAGAATTTGAAACTCTAAAAGATTGAAAACTTATTTCTTTCAAAGTCATTTGTTGTAGTCAATGGATACAAGGAAGCAGGAAAGAAAATGATTAGGTTATGGTAACGTAACCATACGTTTTTTTTTTAATCAGAAGACATTACTTCTATATGAAGTGAGCAATATTTCTTTATCAAATGTATTTGACTCAATTGCTTCGACTCACATTTATCTTGCGATACCTTTGATTGTATAGAAAAATATTTCATAGTATTTTGACATAAGTACCTATTAATACTCAACTCACTCATCTCTGATCAAAAATTGAGTCGTTTGAAAAAGAAAAACACTATTATTTCTTTATTAACTACAGGTATACAAGAAGTATTTCTATCATACTCAAATAAATACTTTTCAATAAACTTAAAACATTCCTTATATACAGGATAAACAAAACAAATAATTTGTATTGATTCAATCTGACTAAATCGAACAAAAAAAAAAAAAAAAAATAAAACTTTATTTATCAAACTAATAAAAACCCGAATACAATCATCTTCAAACTAAAAAATGCAATTAAACTCGTGTTCATAATCAATTTATTATTTTTTGTTCAAACAACTATTCTCGATGTCCGTTACACAAATACTTCTTTTATTAAACAAAAAAGAAAAAAATTTCTTATTCTATTTTTCTTTCTTTTTTGTCATGACACACACACACACACATACACATATATTTTTTTTCCATTATTTCTCGAAAATCTCGTTCGATCAAAGAAAAAAAAAGAGAAA